TGATATTATTGGGCTCTGTCCTGAAGTTGCTTGGGGGAGTTTCAGGGGCAGATGAATATAGCGTTTGTTCTGCTCTGTAGGAGGGAGCAACACGACAGCTGCCTTTTTCCAAACCTGTGATCAAAGTCATGCAGAAAGAGAGAGAGAGAGCGAGAGAGAGAGAGAGGGGAAAAAGAAGAGAGGGGATTAATTTACCCCATCTCAGGATAAAACAATTAATTAAAAAAATAATAACCATAAATAAAGTTTTAAAAATCAAGTACATATGGGTAACGCAATATTAAAATTTTCCATACAATTATTTTTTTATTATTTTATTTTAATGAAAATTTATTTCACACTTTACAACATATATCCACTAATTTCATTGTACAACAGAAATGATTGGCATTAACTATAACAGCGCCACCTTTAATTGCACCATTAAAGCGCCGGCTTTAATGGTGCAATTACATAATTTATTATTTACATTTACGTTTGTCTATTCAAATCTTTCAATATATCACTAGTTAGTTTTTATAATAGTTGCTCATATAAAATTATCAATCTTTGATAACTTTTGAGCAGACTGCTCATAAATGCATTGGCTCTTTTTTTTTTTGTTCGCCTGTGTAATTTTCCGCAATTGATTAAACTCAAAAACTTTTTGTACAGACTTCATTCAAACTTTACAGATTATTTAGGTGTGCAATATAATATGTGTGTTGCAAGGTTTATAATTTAAAGGGGTCATAGGATGCCCATTTTCCACAAGTTGATATGATTCTTTGGGGTCTTAATGAAAAGTCTGTAACATAGTTTGGTTAAAATTGCTCAATGGTAGTGTAAAAAACACCTTTTTTACCCTGTCAAAAACAGCTCTTTTCAGATCAAGCCGTTTTGTAGCATTTTCCTTTAAATGTTAATGAGCTCTGCTGACCCCGCCCCTCTCTTCCGAGCTGCTCTCAGAGAGACTGTTTACTTTAGCCGCATTCATCGTGAAACTTGCTAATTAGCACATTAATAGGAATGGCGATTTGCAAAGATTCATTACAAAACATACTCACTTCTTCTGTAGATGAGGCTGGATCACGAATGATTCGCGCGAACAGACGCATTTAGGTAGATCGGGGGTGCATTCCCTTCAGAAACAA